AGGAGCGACTGCGCCAATATTTTTGCGAGGCACAGATTCTTCACCTCCCAAGCGTTCGCTCCATGATTTTTTCCAGGCACCTGCATGGCCTGGCAGCGGGGTGGATGCGGCATGTCCCTTTGCAAACATCATTTTGGATAGTTTCCGCGATGTCCGGTCGATGCCTGCGGCTTGCCTTGCCTTGCGGTGGCGGTCCAGTCCGTCGTCGCTGTGGCGCTGAAAGTCGCATGCCGGACGGCGAAAATCGGCCGGTGGTGGTCCTATCGGGGCGTTGTCGGCGGGCGACGCACGTTTTCCCGGTAACCTGGCCCCCTGCCGTCCTGGAATCCGCAACCGAGTGGCGTTGATGAATGGGCGTGTGCGTGTTATTTTGGGCAAATGGCGCGTTGTTCCTCGGCGGCGTCCGCCTCCTGCGCGGAGGAGGGGGCATTCCTCGAAGACGAATTCTCTGTGTGGATTTGTTTTTCTCCCTGCTGCGTTTCAAGCCCTACGGCGCGTGGGTGTTTGGTCTCTATTTTTGTCGCCGTGACGTTCTTACAGTCGGGCGGCGCTTGTGACGGATGTGGGTGGCCGAGGCGCCGGCGTTGACCGCCTGCCCGCCACATCAAGGGAGTTTATGGAGTGCTGTGGCCTCTGGTGCCGGCTGCGGCTCTGTTTCGGAGCGTTTGTGTGCTTGCATGTGTGGTAGTAGCTCCGCCCGCGTTTGGGCCGCGGCGACGGCACGTGCGTGGGATTTTGGGTCGCAGCATTCGTAGCAACCACACGTGTTTGTGCGGGACCCCGGCGCGGAGGCGGGCCAGTGCGGCTTCTTCCCCAGGAGCGAGGGTGGTGTCCGTGCGCGTGGTTTCCCAGTTGCCTGCTGCAGTGGAGCGGGGAGTTTCGGCCTTAAGCTGTTGGGCGAAAATAATGCGTTTGGTCCGTGCGACCATGCCGGTGATCCATGTGTCTGTGAGCTGTGTGTGTGTGGTCTGACGTCCTCCGGGCTTCCGCATCACAAGCCTCATTCCTGGATACATCGCGGTGGCCAAAGACAAACTGCATCCGTATGCGCGCTCCTCGGTGCTGCGACGCCGAAGGAGGGGCTAGCGTCGACGAAGTGTCGGGTCAGACGCCACGAAAGGGCCCTGCGTGCAGAACGGTGGGGAGGGACGGTGATCCTGCGAAGATTGACACTCCACACGGCGCATTGCTTGTCTGCGGGATGCTGCTCAATTGCTTTTTGGACCAATACGTAAGGCGATGCATTCGGTTCTGCGGCTGCATGGTATCCGTTCGGCGCCGACCCCGGCAACGTTGATCAGCGTCCCATTCAGGTACAGCATCGCCAAAGCTTACGATATGACATCGAGTTCCACGGAGCCGTCTGTATACCGCTCGTTGTTTTTTCATTCTGGCTGTGGCGGCGGGCCTTTGCGTCGGAAGTGGCGGGCGATCCGGCGGCCACAAGCTTGGGGCCTAACTTTTTCGGGGCCATCTGCGGGGCACCATCGCGAGAGGCGTGGAGACGGACTCGGGCTGCGGGGAGGGCGCTGTGCCATGATGGGGTCGTGTGGAGTTCTCTGGCGGGGCGCTGCGGGTAGCAGATGGTGGAGGCACTAGACCGCAAAGCACCACCACGTGTCTCGCATCGCAGCACACACCGGAATTTGCGCGCCAGCGCCGTATCGGGGAGGGGCCGCGGCTTTGCTTCCAACAGGGGATCCTCCACTTTACCGCCTTTCGGGATTCCTGCAACAATTTTTTTTTGGGGGAGCTTGTGAAGAGAATGATCGCGAGTAAAGCTGACTACCTTAATTAATGTATGTATCCTGATAAAACGAATACACTTTTTTACGACACTTTTATACCGCATGATTTTTGGCATGACCACGGCTGTAGGGGATTAGGGAACCGATAGCCGCCAGATAATTTTGTAAATTTAATTTTGCCATCTCACCCACTCCCTTTTGATTCCCACATTGCGGTGGGGTCCTGTGGCTGGAGAGCCCCAAGGTTTGACACTTCGTGAATTATTAATATATATATGTATGTATATATGTATCCAATCCGAATAGAGCGCAGCATGTCACGAGAGTGGCTATCGGAATACATATGTGTACATATACTTACTTGGGGCAAAGCTTGAGGGTGTGGTGAGCCCACTGCTTTTTCACTTACCCCCTCTTCCTACTGTATTGCTTGATTCTCGTAAATAACTTTACGATCCGGTCAATCGCCCCAGGCGAATGTTTGCTTCTTTTTGCTCTTACCTCCCTCTGGTGCGAATCGGCCTGCCTCTTTGATTGGACGTCTTCCTTATGCCCCAAGCAAGGTGACACATGTTTTATTATTGCGGCTGCGCGCCGCAGCCATCCATCGCTTCCTTCGCCGGCGGTGTCTTTGATTGCTGGTTTGCGTGGCGTGGTGTTAATTTGTGCGACTGCTCGTGTGACTCACTCGTGTTGCGGGATGGCTGTGTGGGAGGAGCTCGTTCATTTTCACGTTGCCGCGTAACTGAGGGTGAGTGCTGGTAGCCACTGAACGGCGTTGCGCCTTGTGTGCCGGCTGCTGTGCTTCCACTTTGTGCTGAGATGCTTGAGGGGGCAATTGTTTTTTGTTTTTTCTTTTTGTTTGCATCCCACTCGTCTGGTCACGGCGGCTGCAACGAGACTCTGCGGCAGCCTGATCGTTGCGGGCGTTACATCTCCTGCTGTTGTCTCCTCGTTGTGTCGGTGGGGAGGAGGCGGGCGACGGCGTCGGTGGAGTGGCGCTGCGGTGGGAGAAGGAAGGCACTGACCGCCGCTGACGGCGACCGTCTTTGCTGCCGGCGACCTGACGAGATGACCTCACCGTTGTCACACCCAACCGGGATCGATGCGGGCCGCACCGCCTCTCTCTTCCCTCCCTCCATCCCCCAGTCTCCTGCAGACACACGAACTGCGCGGCGGCGGCGTGATTACAAACCGGACGTCTGAAGGTCAACCGACCGCAGAGTCGATGTGGACCCTTGTCCCCCGTGGCTGAGTGCCGCCACCGTGCTTCTTTGTTCCTCCCTTTTGCCCTTGTGCATGCCGTGCGCGCATGATGCCGCTCTTTGTTCTGCAATGCCGACCCACGTGAGCGAGAAACGACGCCTTGGCTACTGGCAACTGACGCACTCA